TATTTCCGACCCGGACAATTTTAGGGGTCTACACTCTCAGTTGATCCATTAAGTCATCTATTCGGGGGAGTGGATATTTGTTCTTAATGGTCAACTTGTTCAATTGCCGGTAATCCACACAAAGTCGACTACCTCCATCCTTCTTTTTAACCAACAACACGGGGGCACCCCACGATGATACACTTGGCCGCACAAACTGCTTCTCCAACAGGTCCTCCCATTGACCTTTCAGCTTCACCAGCTCAACAGGAGCCATCCTATAGGGAGCCACCGACACTGGCCTCGCACCTGGAACCAAGTCAATGCTAAACTCCATCTCCCTAACAAGAGGCAACCCAGGCACCTCATCAGGGAACACCTCAGCAAAATCCTTCACTAAATCTATTTCAACAATGACCCTCTCGGTCTCCACACTCATAGCAGCAAGCAGAAGACAACTCTCTGCTCCATCTCTCAGCAATGATTCAGTTTGGCCAGCTGAAATCAACAGCTCATCCTCCACTTGAGGAAAAATCAACCGCCTATTGGCACAATCTATAAGGATGCGATTGGTAGACAACCAATCCATCCCTAAGATTATGTCAATATCCACCAAAGGCAAACAGATCAAGTTCACCTTATACCTCTTTCCATTCACAATAATAAAACAGCCAGCACACAACTCCCAAGCAACTACCGAAGCTGAAGCGGGCATCGACACTAGCAGTCTCAACCCCAAATCACGCACCGGCACACCCGGCATAGTAGCACAAGCATAAGAGATAAAAGAGTGAGAAGCTCTAGAATCAAATAAAAACATCACATCCTTACTAGCAGCTTTGCCCTTCGCCTTCACAAGATCAGAAGAAGTCGAAGCCTCGGCACCCGTCAAGGCGAACACCCTACCAGTTGTAGTGGGTCTGTCACCCCTCTGGGCATCACCTCTCTGAGCACCACTCCTATGAGCATCGCCCCTCTCTGGTCCATTTCGGGTAGGACAATTGAACGACTCATGACCCATCTGATGGCACCTGAAACACCGGCTCTCCTTGTAAGGACAATACCTAATAAAATGGGGTCCAGCACACCTATAACATCTAAGAGTGGCACCTCCACCCTATCTCCCTCCTCTAGCAGCATCAGAAGGTTGCCTAATGATAGGACCCCCATGCTGTGGTTGGGGCCTATCATATGGCTTCCTCTGATTTCCTCCCTTCTTGGACCCAGCTGGTCCCTTAGCAGCTCTAGTCACACGGTTGCCACCTTCTAACCTCTCAACAACCTTCGCCTTCTTCACTAAGGCTGGAAACTCAGTGATGGCCATAGGAACCACCACCCTCATCAACTCATGTTTTAGACCCTTAGCAAATTTCCTACATTTCCAGGCCTCAAATATAGCTTGCGAATAGAAACGAGCCAGGTGCTCGAATCTCATCGCGTATTCAGAGACTGTCATCCCACTTTGGTGCAACCGCATGAACTCCGCCTCCTTGGCGTGCCTCACGCTCTCCGGAAAGTACTTTTCCAGGAACACCCTCCTGAAGCACTCCCAATCAACAACCACTCCTCTAGCGGTCAACATATGTTGAGTACCCCTCCACCAATGCTCAGCCTCTCCAACCAACATGTAAATAGCGTATGCCAGCCTCCTTTCTTGAGAACATCCCAGAACAGTGAAGATCTTCTCAAGTTCACAGATCTAGTGGTCAGCCACCTCCGGATCTACATCTCCCTTGAACTGTGGAGGATGGCATTTTTGGAACTCAGCAAGATCCCGACTCTCCTGTGACCCCATGGGCCTTGCTGCACTAGCTGCAGCTCTATCAGCGTCCATCCGAGCAAAATAAGCATTTTGCTGTTGCATAGCCATAGCCATCATCTCCATGGCACGGGCTATTTGCTCATTGATTCTAGTCATTGTCTACAAAAGTAACAGCATCTTCAGTATACAATAACTAAACCAATTAACAATCATCATCACAACAATCAACAAGGAAATCAGCACAGCAAACGTCATAGCAAACCAACTCAACACAGAGTGTAACGACCTGGCTGGTCACTACACACAGCACAACACACCGAAAACACCAGACAGAAAGAACAAGTATATAAATATAGGATCTAGAATATATATACATACAAGGTCCCATTCCGGATAGAGTTAGAGTGTACAAACAAAATACATCCATCAATCGCTAACTAAGTAGCTAATACATTAAAAGAATAAACTTCATCTGCCAGCTGCAGACCTTCCTCAGCAAACCACCAACCTCAACCCTGCCCTGCTCCCACACAACAGTATGATCATCGCAATCCAAACACATGGAAAGGACAAAGGGTAAGCTAGTGAAAAGAATCAACATTCATATGCGAAATGTGAATGATAAACAACTACAGCTATCAGTACATCAACCAGCTTAATAGCATTAGATTAAAATATCACAGCATTCAGCAATAACAACACCGACATAACGGCTATAACAGCACCATAATAGTGGCTAATAACAGCCCTGACATAGCGACTACAACAACCCCACAATAGTGGCTAATAACAGCCCCGACATAGCAGCTACAGCAGCACCCTAATAGTAGCTAATAACAGCACCGACATAGCGGCTATAGCAGCACCACAATAGTGGCTAATAACAGCACATAGTTCAGCACATCACAACAATTCATCATATAGCAATAACGGCTTAAAGCACAGCTCAACACAACAATATTCATCTATTACAGCTTAACATCATATTTCAGCATTATCATCTAATCGACACAGCATATTCATCAATTACATCTCAACTCAGCATAAAACAACATTTATCAGCAATTCCAGCATAATTCAACATCATCATCCGTGCCCAGCGCGCTTATGGTCGCGCCTGGCGTGGCACAATTAGAGTGTACTAGGGAACCAACGCGCCTGGCACAATTCCTATTGCGCCTGGCGTGGGGGAAGGTAGAGACCTCACAAGGTCTCACAAGCCCGGCGTGCTAATCTCGCGCTCAGCGCAAGAAAGCAGAGACCTCCCCAGGGTCTCACGCCCGGCGCAATATAAATTGCGCTTGGCGTCACATCTGGCAGAGACTCCCAAGGAGTCTCCACGCCTGGCGTGACAAAGCCCTACCCGGCGCCACATCAGAACCATAAAACTTGAGTAATCTACTGATATTGCGCCCAGCGCTGTTCCGCCACGCCCGGCGTGGGCCATCCAAAGACTCACATCCTCAAACTCGCCCGGCGCATTCACCATTGCGCCCGACGTGCTTACCCAAATGGTGTCTCTGATGGTCACGCGCCCGGCGCAAAGAACTGCGCACGGTGTGATACCCAGCAGCAACCCTCAAACTTTTGAAAATCTCTTTAAACCCTGCAAAATAACCAGGAAAATCCACATGCAATCGGCCCAAAGTACTACATTTTCATCAAACATCACGAAAAACCCTTCATTTTCAACATGTAACCATTAAATCAAGAAAACCCAAATTTTCATCCAAAACCCCAAAACTCCAAAAATCCATTTTTCACCAACACTCAGCCAAAATCAACCAACACCAACAGATAATGAGCTTCTAGCACTCATTTTCATCCAAAAACAACGAAAAACCTAGCTTCCCTTACCTCGGTAGAAGAATCCGAGCTTCCGGGAAGAGAAGGGCTCAACGGAGGAGAAGAGGGAAAAGAGACGGAGAAGAAGAACTCTGACTCACCTACTCAGCAGCACCACCTTGACTCCAAGAAATCGAAAGTGAATCAGCAAAATGAGAAGAAGAGATTGAGAGTTTAAAGTAAAAGAGAGAGGCTTGAGTGAGTGAGAGTGAAGAGAGGAAGAAAAAGAATAAGGGGTCTCACAACAACAATATAAAATATAAAAATAAAATTTATTTTATTAAATTAAAGTTAATTTATTATTAATAAAAATAATAACTAAATCTATGGATGAACCGACGGGTAGATATGAAAGCGTAAAAGTGCAGGTAGAAAAGACTTTGTACATTTATTTTAAAGTCAAGTCAAGTAAACGCGTTTTTGTATCAAGTCTTCGGCTTTGTCATTCTAGATGTAGGTTAAATATTTATATTCTTTTTTCTTTCTAGTTGTCAAATTTCTTATCTTCTCATGCATATAAAATCTAACAAGTTGAAAACATCATAATATACGAAAGAAGTTTTTAATTTATTTTGTTGAAACTTATTTCAATGATAGTAGATTTTTGTCTCTCAGTGGTTTCTAAAAGTGTTCCCACTTCCAAGAAATAACCCTTAAATATAGACTATCCTACAAAGTCCAGTCAATGTTATTATTAAAAAAAAAAAAAAAGTAAATGTGCAAATGTGTTTAATGAATTTGGGCTAATGACAATATATATTATATTTCACACTCCTGTCTCTCTTTTCTCTCTTCCTCTGTCTGTGTTGTAAAATTTATAGAAATAATATTTTTTATTTAAAAATATTTATTTACTATAGATTTTAATTATTAAAATAAATATGTTGTCAAAAAATATTAAAATAAATATTTATTTTTATTTACGGTAGAAAAATTAAAACATTATTTAATTTTAAGGGTTGCTAGTATTACATTAAAGTTTTTATTGATACGTTAAAAGTTTTTATTGAAAACTGGATTTTAATGTAAATAAATATCTTCAGGTATTTTAAAAGGGATGAAATTAAAGAAAAAATGTTGAGTTATGCTTTTATTTTTTACTCTTTAAATTTATAATTTGATAATTTCTTATTCTTAATATATATAAAACGGGGAAGTTGTCGATTAGGGATGACAAATATACCCGTACCCGCGGGTAATACCCGAACCCGTCCCGACTTTGACGGGGAATACCCAGTTTGACCGGGTACGGGTACGGGTACGGGTACGGGTACGGGTACGGGTACGGGTAAAATCCGATATATTAAATCGGGTACGGGTACGGGTACGGGTATGTACTTACCCGCCCTGTACCCGTACCCGTCCCCGTTCTCATTTTTAATTTAATATTCACTTTAAATTTAATTATATTAAAAAATTTTAATATTTTTTATGTGTGATTATTTATTATAATATGAGATAAAGAAATAATTTAATTATAATTATAAT